CCACGACACACCAAGGAAGCACTAACCTACAGGTTGTAACCGCGATGCTGGTTCATCACCCAAAGTATATAATGCAAAGCACTACTACATTGAAGTAACCCAAACACACCCTGATACCTATTTGGGAGATCAGGGCGCTTAATAATGGAAACCGGCGGAATGGATGGACTGTACAGCACTGTGGCAGACACTTTCCCCCCCCTTCCCCCTTACCCCTGTCTTTCATTGCCCACTCAACCTGCTACTAAAGTGATTCACATTTCAAATGTATGTATGTTACTGTTGTACATTACAACCCGCATGTGGGTTGATAACACATACCTGTATCTTCTGTTGGATCCTTATGAAAAGCACAATAAAAATTATTTGAAACAAAAAAAAAGAAATGGTCAGTATGTACACTTTTACAAGAAATGGTAGTTCAATGCACAAACATAAACCTATTTTAGAGCTTTTTGGGCACTGATACCACTCCTAGAAATTGACTTTATTAGTAATACTATATAGAAAGATTAAAGTAGCAGAGATGACCATTTTATTATGAATGCTTTCATCAAATGATTTTGTTTGTTTTTCCATCGACTCTACAAAAATTGACTCTACAACTAACAACGTTACCGGCAACTAGACATGTGCGATTCGTTTCGTAATTAATACAATTGAACACCGACATCCCAATCTGCCTGCTGCCACAGTATGTAAAACATTTATTTGCCCTGTATGTAGTATCTCTTTAAGCAAGTAATTTTTATTGATTTTTCAACAGTATAAGCTTACAAAGCGGGCTTAATCGCAGAGTTACAACAGTGTCAGCGACTAAAAGTCCTGTAGGGCATGGGTAAGTAAGAATACATTACATCATGTAACAGAGAACACAAAAAATCCAACAAACAATAAATAATAAAATACAACACAAACATAGCGCATGCATTACATTAATACATTTTTGGGACCAGTGTACATCCCTCCAGTGTGCTTACCCCCTAGGCGTAGTGCGGGGCTGACTTCATGCTCATTAAGTAGACCTGGTAGTGGTTAGAATGTTGTTAAAGGACATTCAGGGGTCCCAGGGTCGAAGTAAGTTTTGCTTCAAGGTACCATTTAGTGTCTTTAAAAAGGGACATCAACTCTTGTAGCAGTATCTCTTTAAATGTAGTTCTCAGGGTAAATAATTGCTTATTGTTTCCATTGAAGATCATTACTTTAATGTATTTGTTCCGGTTTTGCTATTTCTTCTAGAGGTGAATTCATTTCTTTTTCACTTTGTATTTTAGTTCTGGTTGCTGTTTCTATCACTTTGCCTCACACAAAGGCTTTATGAGCTGCCCGTAAAATAGCTGGGGAAGATACAGCGGGGGGGAATTTATCATAGCAATTGCGAGTGTTTGAACTCGCATATGGTCGCATGGGATATATTTGACGCGCTTTGCTCCAGATTTATGTCTGTTCATAAATGAGATGAAATAGACTCCAGAAAAGAAGAATCGCAAACTCCAGGCAAGGAGCTTAACTGTCGCTTCTTGAAGAAGTGGGCATGGGGACTTCAGTGTATGGGCACCTTTACAAGGAACAGCTGGAAGAAGATTTTCCAGCTAATTAGGTTAATTGGCAACAAGTCAGTAACATTATTGGGTATAAAAAGAGCATCTAAAAGGTGCCCATCCACCTGGCGATTATCGTACGATAATCGCGGGAAATCCCGCAATCATACGATAATCGGCAGGTGTATGGAAGGCGTGCGACCGTTTCTACTGTACGGTCGCACGTTTTTGTCTTACGAGCATGTTTGAAAACCTGCCGAGAATCGTACGATTGTCGGCTGGTTTCTGGCATGCTCGGGAGACAAATGCCGAACGGGTCGGTATGCGCATTGCAGTCATCGGAAGCCAGTCCCTCAGCGGGGCGGGCTTTCAGTGGTCGCAAGTACCATCTGCCTGTCCTAGATGGGCAGATCGTACGAGCTTTTAATTAGCTTACAAACATAGAAAGACAAAAGTCTTGCGATGGTTGTAAGGTGTATGGGCACCTTTAGAGAGGCAGAGGGGTTGATTTACTAACCTTATAAACACACCATGAACATGTATACACCTCTGTAGTGTGTTCCCTCCCAGCATGATCTATGGGTGGAATCTAAACACCTTTGTAGTGTGTACACACCCAGCAGGTGTGTTGTGCAAAGCCCTGCATGAATTGCAAGGTGATGTTGGGTAAATTAGCTCTATGTTGTGTTGCTTGCGTTGATGAATGCAGGAATGTAAATGCATGAGCTAACCATTTTTGTCTAAACTGTGAAGCAGCATTATATATGCATCATGTGCATGATTTTTCCATATATGGCATTAGTGGAAATATGCTTTTAGAGACTTGTTGGTTGATAAATACGTTTTGCTGTGTGAAAATCACACGCACCCGCTGCGTGCGTGTGTTTAGGTTAGTAAATCACCCCCTAAGAGTGTCTCAGAAGTACAGATGGGCCGAGGTTCACCAATGTGTGAAAAGATGCGTCTAAAAATTGTCAGACAATTTCGGAATAATGTTCCTCAACGTAAAATTGCAAAGACTTTAAATATCTCATCATCCACAGTACATAATATCATCAAAAGATTCAGAGAAATCTCTGTGCGCAAGGGACAAAGCCGAAACTGAATATTGGATGCCCGTGAGTCAGGCATGATTCTGTGATGGACATGACTGCATGAGCTCAGGAATACTTCCAAAAATCACTGTCAAGCTCCATCATGCAAAGAAGAAGCCATATCTGAACATGATCTCTGGGCCAAAGTTCATTTAAAATGGTCTGTTGTGGGAATGCCCCAAATTGAGACCTTTTTGGAACCGGCTTTATGCTCTAATATTTAGGGTTACTGGGGTGAGAGTCCCACGAGATCCCCAATATGTGTTGCTGAATTGCCCGATTCCAGGACTGTCTAAAGCTTTGGATACATTAATTACTTTCTTTTTGTTGGCAGCCAAAATAAGCATAGCTAGGGCTTGGAAAACGCCAACAATTCCATTCCACTCGGTTAAACAAAAAATGTCGTGGATTATGGTCCATGAGAAACTTCACAGCATCCTCCAAGATACTAAAAAAAAGCTTTGAATTGACCTGGACCCCCTGGATGTTATATACAGGGGTGCTGGAAACCGGGTCATTTTCATTGAACCATTTTTCTGGAATTTTTCTCTGGGGACTATGTTTAATGTTTAAGTAGATGTTGGGCTATTTGGTCGGGGATGGAGCTACTCTTTTCGGACTCTTAAGCTGTTCTGCGTCCTTTAGCATCTATTTCCTTTTCCTTTTTTTTCATTATGCTCGCACACGTGAGCTGTTTAGTGCATTGATGTTGGACAGAAAGTTTTCTATTTATATAGATAAGGAGGAGATCATAACAAATGTTTGCTGCAGACATAGGCGGATCCCTATGCCAGATATTCCTCTCAGACTGTTTTGAGTTTTGTTTTTGCTGATGGGGGATAAATTGGCAAGAATAGGGTGATAGATATGATCTGTTTTACAGAACTATTATATATTGTGTGTATGGCTTCTAGTGATCCCCCCCTACTACTTGACTATGCTAATGTGGAAGAATCTGAAATGCAATTGTATGCTATACTGATTGCGCATCATGTGCTATTTTATTGTTTTATTCTACTTTGGAAAATTAATAAAATACTTTGAAAGTAAAATGGTCTGTTGCAAAGTGGAAAACTGTTGTGTGGTCAGACGAATCGAAATTTGGCATTCCTTTTGGCAACCATGGGTGCCGTGTCCTCCGGGCTAAAGAAGAGAGGGACCTTCCGGCTTGTTATCAGCACTCAGTTCAAAAGCTTGCATCTCTGATGGCATGGGGGTGCATTAGTGCGTATGGAATGGGCAGCTTGCACATCAGGAAAGGCGCCATCAATGCTAGAAGATATATCCGGGTATTAGAGCAGCACATGAACCCATCCAGATGACTTATTTTTCCGGGATTTCAGCAGGACAATGCATCTATGACAACAGCATGGCTTCGTAGTAGAAGAATCCCGGTGTTTATCTGGTCTGTCTGCAGTCCAGACCTTTCACCAATTGTAAATATTTGGCACAACGTAAAACAGGGCTAAATGTAGAAGAAGAAAAAACACTCGCCCGCTGTTAACTCCTCCCCGGCCGCTGCAGCGACATCCAGCGGGAGAACTTACACTGCTGCGCTAGGAGGAGGCTGAGGAGCCTCTCACCAAGCGCAACAGAAGGTACACGGCGACCTGCTGAACAAGGGGTCACGACCCACAGGTTGAGAACCGCTGATATACACTGAGGGGGAAGTTCAATTGTGAACAAATAGAAAAGGGGGTAGGCAACCTCTGCACTCCAACTGTGGTAAAACCACAAATCCCATCATACCTCTGTCTTTTGGAGTCATGCCTGTGGTTGTCAGGGTCTTGCAAAGCCTCATGGGACTTGTAGTTTTATCATAGCTGGCGTGCCGAGGTTGCCTACCCCTGGAAGAGATATCTAAATGTTGTGACGCTCTCTTCCTTCTAACATTATATATCTATCCTTAGTGCACCTTTTCTGTCTGGTTAGCAGACTCAGCTAATACCTTCCTCGCAGCGGCTCCAATACTTTTCCTTCATTATGGCAGTGCATAGACTTCCCTTAGATACACCTTCGTTACAGCACCTCGTGACCAAGGGTCCCTCCCACACACAGAACTCCTCCCCCACAAACACCACAGGCTTGGTTTGACGCCAACTCGCTAAAACAACCAGGCGCCCATGTTTGTTGAGGTAAACTTTAGTATCTCAACTATAAGGGATGTTTGATAACAGCACATAGTTGATAGAGACAGAGCGAAGATATATCATATTTGATCTTATAAATCACTCACTTCATTATTTTTGCCCTCCATTAGCATGTCGTTTTTTGAAGGACAGAGGCTAGATTTCTCAACTGCCCTTTCGCAAGATGGCTGCGTCAAGCCAGTGGACATTACGCCATGACGTAGGATGTGTACGGGATGACGTACGGTGCGGCATGCCTTGTCTAGCAGTTGCCGATTCATTGTAGAGATGGCGGTGAACGGGGCGGACGGAGCCGGGATCAGACAAGTAGCCGCCATGTACGAACAGCTAAAGGCCGAGTGGAATAAGAAGAGCCCCAACCTGAGCAAGTGCGGCGATGTGCTGGGCAAGCTGAAGGTGAGGGTGGAGGAAGCTTGTATTGTCTCTGGGGGAGGGAAAGGTGGCTGAGCGTGTAGAGGGGGGGTGACACCGCAGAACATTCAGAATGGACTGTGTACGGGGAGAGAATAGGGTCAGTTCTGAAGTTTTATGGGCATACATGGTCAGATGTTGTTTTGGTGAAGTTTGCTGGTCTGACAGATAAGATCCAGTCTCTGTGTGATGTGGGGGAAGGGCCTAGTAAACAAACCATTTTATTGATATCCAGCCAACTAAACCCTCACACTAAGGAGACCCATAGACACGAAGGGACAGTCATCATGGTCACCACAGTGATCTTGTGACATTAGGGAGCCCCCTGTCCTTCCTGGTAATAGGGAACATCAAAGAGGTGACTTGCTGTCATTCCTGTATAAGAAAATGGGAGCTGGCAGCACTTGTCATCACTCCCCTCCTCCACATTGATGGACAGCCAGACAAACTTCTACTATTCAGTGGTGCAGCCAGCAGATCCTTCATGTACATCTGATCACCTAATGATTAAAACGCCGGATATTACCCACAAAAAAACCCTACTTTTGCAATCCCCCCTCCCCAGCCCGGTCTATAGTTCTGCATTCCACATGAGGATGGGGAGGGCCTGTCCATAACCTGGAACGTCGTAGAAAACAGAGGAGCACTGGAGGTAAGTATTGCAGCTTAAGCCAGCCTCTAATTCTCATGGCTGGAATGAGGTGATTCCGTAGGGTGCAGCCGCTCAGCCTGTACAAAGCAATGACAGGAGCCGCAGCTGTCCGCTGGTATTCATTCCCGCATATCCAGCAAGTACCTGCGGCTAGGGGAAGGTGTACGACCCTTGGAGCGGGCGGCTCCTTTCATTGCTTTGTATTGGCTGAGCGGCTGCAGCTGTCCAGAACCACCTGTCATTCCAGCCACAA